TGGGGTTGGGCGGCGTGTGCCATCTGCCCCCCCCTGCCGCGGGGCTCGTCGAAGCGGGAAGCGTCGCGGCCGGGGGCACGAGGGGACGCGGAGTTTGGGGGCGCTGGGGCGCGAGGCCGCCCCTCGAGCCCGTGAGCGTGTTGAGCAGCGATGCAGCACGAGTGGGAAGATTCCTTCTGCTGTGGCGCCAGCGGGAGAGGCAACTGAGTGGCTGAGCGAGGCCTTGCTTGAGGAGCTCACTTTTCCGCTGCAAGAAACCCAAACCTCTGGTCCTGCAAATAATTTTAATTCCAAAGCTGGTTAAAACCTTTTGTTTATGTAAATGTTCAGTGGCTCTGGTCCCCTGAGACCATCTCCTTTGTTTTGCCACCTCCTTTGCACACTCTACCACATGCTTCCTCTGTGACTTGGAATAATCAGGTTATCTTTATAATGGGAAGATAGTAACAGGTCTTGTGCAGAGCTTAATGCAATGTCCAAAGCCTAATGCAGTGTCCATGAAACAAACCAACATCACTATAGGCAAGCCACTATTTTCTGTAGACAAAACATGTTCTACTCTTCAGAGTTTCATTTAAAGGTTTCAGGAGGGTTTTTTTGTTGTTGTTGTCGGGTTTTAAACATCATGGTCACTTACAAATTAGTAACTTTCTTGGAGAGAGGGGGAAAGAAAATAGTTTTGTGTTCAGGCCTTAGTTGGAGTGCTGCGCTCTGGTGCTTGTGAACAGATTCAGACTCACACATTCATTCCTCTGCTGTGAGTTTTGTTTTTTACTTCTAAAAAAGACCATGGAAAACTTTACTGTGGTCAATGAAGTTGTTTGTCACATCCCTCTTGTCTCCCATCCTGTGGGGTGTGTGGAGCAGGGGTGTCTGGCTGATGCCTGAGACCAGAGAAGGGTAAGTTATATTAGCCCAGAAAAAGGGCATTCCTTGTGATACCTGGGCTGCTTATACAAACTGCATAACTGTGCCCTCCTGTAAATTTTCCTCATCAGGGCACTGAGTAAGACTGCCTCTTTTTTTTTTTTTTTAATTTTATATTTTAAAAACTCAGCTGCTTTGTGCTAGTGCTCCAAATAGAATCTCAGAATCTTTGCAAAGTGGAGTTTTTGGAGAGAGAGAGAGAGAGGAAAAAAAAAACCAAAAAAACAAAAAAAACTAGAGCACTGGGAGAGAAGGCTGGGAAAAGGAAATATTTGCTATTTGAAACTGTTACTTTCTGAAGTGATTTTATTCTGCTTCCAGTGTCCTGTAACAGAGTGTGCTTCAGTATGCATGCAAATACAAAATGAGGATTTCAGTTCTCTGTATTTACATAATATATCAGCAGCTGTATTTTTACTGTGGTGTTTTACTGTATTTTTTAGGTGGTACTGGCAGAAAGAAAAGAGAGCGCCCTATGTGAAATTTATGGAGGCAAATTATCCACCTGGGTTTAGATATGAAGATTTTGGGCCATTGTTTACAGCAGAATTCTTTGATCCCAATCAGTGGGCAGATATTCTGAAGGCCTCAGGTGCAAAATACGTTGTCTTAACGTCAAAACATCACGAAGGTAAATGGGAGGTTTGTGGGTGTTAGTAACTGTTGCATTTCTATCAGCTGAAGAAAAGCCCAAGCGACTTTCCTGCTTTCTAAGATGGGCAGAGAACGGCAAGCAGACTGACTTACCTACCCTGACCCAGCCAAGGAAGTATGCATTTATTTTTCTGACATTATAGCTGCAGTTGTAAAGTTTTTGTGGAAGGAGGAACTGGTTGTGCCATTGTTCTCTGGCCTGAGCAGGTAGGTGCTTCCTGCAGTAGCTATAGTTTCTTTCAGACTGTTGTGTAATTTATTGCCTAAGGAACCAGCATGAGTAAACTCTGTGCTGCTTTATATATAAAACAGTGCTGGGTACAAGTTGTTCACTAGCTCTGTAGATTTCCCCAAGGACTTTAGAATATGTTTCAGGAATTCATTTCAGCCTTAGGAACATACACAGGGTGCAGCTCTTCCTGGTGCCATAGGAGCTAGAATCTGAACTGGGTGTCTAAGAGGACAGAGGTCACGCTTGCGCTGAGAGATATAAGGCAGGATGTTGCAGCTTTACAGATGTGAGGAATTTGCTGAGGGTTATGCAATAAGTTTATTATGAAGAAAATCGTTTTGGGGGTTGCTTGAGTCAATGTCTCATTATTTATTCTCAGGCAACTAGCAGCTTGTGCATCTTAATGCTGGTTCTGATGCACAAAGTTCTCATCCTAGTGATGCCCATGGCACAATTCCCACTGACTTCAATAGAATCAAGATTCATTTAGTCTGTCCAGTAGCCTTGGGCTGTGTTTTGTTGTTGTTGTTATTTTTGTTTTGTTTTAGATTGTCTAGTAGGTGCAATTACATGTATTTGTTTCCCAAAAATATTGTGGAATTTATTAGGCAGTGCTCGTAAAGCAGTCTGAAGGTGAGAATTGAACTCATCTGGTGGAGCTTATGCTGGATTGCTGAATGTCTGGAAAGTTAAATTTCTCCTGATACTTGATGTTTTAAAAGCTATTCCAGGAGTTTTTGCATTCTGCTTGTACACATAAACTGGCTATGTGACTGAGCTGTTATGCAAATGTTCAATTTTCATTTATCTTGACATTTATAAGAGGTAGCCTGAGGGAGGAGAATAGTCTTTGAGTGTATATGATAGTACAATCTGCAACTGAAAAAGCATTTTGTCTTCCTATTTATTGACTGCATGTTGAGAGTTTATATTTGAAACGGTCTGTGGAAATCCAGATGCCTCCCAAGTTGCTATATTTTGGTTAATTTCATGGGATATGTGAATGGCGTGAACAACTAAGGAGGAAGTAATAATTATCCTAATTTAGTACAGACCTGGAAGTTGCATGTTTTTAAATATATCTATAAATGCATGTGTGGAGAAAAAGATATGTGTATACACCATCATAAATGCATATGGTGTTGAATTCTGGTTGTAGGACTGTTACCAGTGGTTAGACAGAGATTATAGAAATGTTTTCCACCATGATAACTATATTATTACATACATTATTTTCATCACAAACTCACAGTTGCAAACTGCAGAAAGAAGAACTTTAATTTCTCCTTTTCTGCTTCCCTTTCTTATCATTTAATTTTATCTTTTCAGGCTTTACTTTGTGGGGATCCAAATATTCTTGGAACTGGAATGCTGTTGATGTAGGACCAAAGCGAGACCTTGTGGGTGAATTAGCAACATCTATTAGAAACAGGACTGATTTGCATTTTGGGTTATATCACTCCTTATTTGAATGGTTCAATCCTCTCTTTCTTGAAGATGTCACCAATGCGTTCAAGACAAGAATGTTTCCGACCAGTAAATCATTACCAGAACTCTATGAAATTGTTACCAAGTACCAACCAGAAATAATTTGGTCTGATGGGAATGGAAATGCACCAGATAGTTACTGGAATAGCACAGGTTTCTTAGCTTGGCTGTATAATGACAGGTAAGTAATGATTTCCTAATTGAAAACTCTGCTCTCTTTATGGTTGGACTCACTTTCTGTATGTTTTGTGGAATTCATTGCCACTGCCCATTGGGACTTGGCTATATCTTATTTTTTTCTGGAATATAAAGCATGAAGAATGCAGATATTCCCTAGAAGAATCCAAGTTTTCTTTAAAACAAACAAGTAACCCCTCTACCTCACCCCTCCCCACCCTGCCCCCCAGCTTATTTATTTTTAAAACCAAGTTAATCAGTTAAGATCATACTCTTCTTTTCTACTGAGCTTTACATTCTTCCTTAAATATTGTGGAGAGCATGGGCAACCAGAATAGCAGAATATTCTAAGAATATGGGTAAGTTGTTGTAGTTGTGGACCGCACATCTGACAGTAGACATGCAGTGCAGCCTACTGTCTCACGTGAAAGTTCTCAGCATCCTTCCCCAAGAAATTCTGATCTAGGCCTTTTACTAGGAAAGGATGAGAAAAAGATTCCTGAAATTGCATTCAGCTGAACTGAAATAAATTAGTAGTGCAGAAGTCACTCAATACTATTTTCTGAAGGATGAGGAAGGGTATTTCACTGCTCATGACTGCAGTTCTAAAAATAACAAATTTAAAAATTTCGAATTTTCAGTCCAGTTCGGGATACAGTTGTGACAAATGACCGCTGGGGAGTTGGAAGCATCTGTAGACACGGAGGTTTCTACACCTGTAGTGACCGGTACAACCCCGGCCACCTTCTCCCTCACAAATGGGAGAACTGCATGACTATTGACAAGCAGTCGTGGGGCTACAGGAGGGACGCGAAGCTGGATGACTACCTCACGATTGAAGAACTGGTCAAGGTACAATGGGATGAGCTTCTGCTTCTCCCTACTGACTATTATAGTGTGTCATATTTCAGTTGCATATTTAATAAAAAAAAAGTTTTAATGAAATAACAAACCAATCAAATTATGATTCATTATAATATAGATAGTACCTTCAGAAACAAGTGGTTTTTTTTCCTAAATAAAATAGTGATTCATTTTCTTCTAAATAATTTGTGAAAACTAGCCACTAAATATCCAAAGCTTCCTACTGTTTTATTGTTGTTACCATAAAACAGGCAGAACACTAGAGGAAGAAGTTGCTTTAGCTTAAAAAAAAAAAAAAGATGCAACCTTGTGTTTGTGTAGAGAAATAATTGTGTTTTGTTAGTAAAACTCTTAGAAAATTCCTGTAGAAGTTAAAATGTTTAAAAAATTGTAGAATGTCATTCAAATGTATATTCAGTCAGAAGTGGAGTGAGACTGTACAGGGGCTATTTTATGTCATTAAGAATAGGTAACTGAGCTCCCTCATATGGGAGCTTAGATTTTTGCATTGACCATTGAGATGTCCCTTCAAACCTAAACGGAGAGCAGGAACGTGGCTGGTTCAGTCCATGACTGTGTAGTAACATGCCAGGCTTTAACAAGTACGTGGAATGTGTTTTTTTTTTTTTTTTTTCTCTCTCTCCCCTTTTAACCATATGTTCTGAGTGCATGTTTAAAAACATTTCAGCAACTTGTAGAAACCGTGTCGTGTGGGGGTAATCTCTTGATGAACATTGGGCCCACTCGCGACGGCCGCATTGCTGCCATATTTGAAGAACGCCTGAGGCAGATGGGCACCTGGCTGCAAGTCAACGGAGAAGCCATCTACGGGACGACGCCGTGGAGAGCACAGAATGACAGCATCACACCAGAAGTGTGGTGAGGCTGCAGGCCAAAACGGGCGCAATGGAGCGCAGCAGAAGCCTGCGTGAAATTCTTCGTGACTTGCAGCTTAGTCCGTATGCTGGAAATAAGCGTGCTTTGTCAGCTTAGCTGCGGGCGTTATGGTCTAGCTGAAGACACAAGTAGACAGTGGGTGTCAGAGGAGGTGGTTTGGGGATGATCTGGAGACTGAAGGGAGGGTTGCCTGTGTTTCCTTAATGATCCTGTGCTGCTTAATGTAGTTGGCAACAGAAACTGTTTAAAAAAGAGCAAAGTTTAGAACTGCTATGAAGTGGGGTGTTTTTTGTGTGTGCGGTTGAAAATGTCTCACTGTTGTGAGAGAAACAGGAGAAAGACTAGAGATTTGTCTAGCTTACTACACACTTCTTTGTGAGGTAAAAAGGTTTGGGGAAATGACAGCAATAGTTTGGTCCCTGAATTCATTCACTGCATGGACTCCAGACTGCCTCTGTGCCTCACAGCTCCTGTGGCACGTAATGACCTGTAAAGGTTTTGGTCTGACCTCTTCTCTGCTTCCCTGCACTTTTTTATTCCTGCTCCTGGTTAAGATGTGGCTATCTAGACATAGCCTTGATATGCTAAAACACCAGCTCGTTAGCAAAAGCATTTCTGGGAACAACAACAAAAAAAGTAATTAAAATTAAGGAAGTCTGCAGAAATCTTGCAAGTACATACCCCAAGATTACCGAGGAAAAATGGTGGATGTCTGCTGAAACTCAGCTTTTGTGCAAGGTGAAAGATTGATTGTTGCACAAACTTCTATGAAATTTTTCTGTGGAGTTGTTATATGCTAGAGCATGGGTACAAATTACCATATCTCCTGAATGCAATGTGCAATTATGATTTCCTCTATACTGCATAACTTCTTCCTTACATGAGTGAGCAGCAGTGTTATGTACTTGCTAAAGATTAAACAGAGGATCTTTAAATCTCCCAGGACTCCAGTTTGTTGGAATGTATTTGCAGGGAACATTAGTTTGTTAAAGGGTATGGATTATCTGGCATGTGAAAATGTCATTAAAGCCAAATTTTCAAATCTATTATTTTTTTTTATCTTGATATATATGAAGTTGATATATGCCCCTTTAGAAAATTTACAAGGAAAACTGATGTGCGGTTCTGTTGCCCGTTTCCAACCAGGTACACGTCGCAGCCTAGAGAAGGCCGAGTCTTTGCCCTTTTCCTTAACTGGCCAATCTCTGGAACACTGGCACTTGGTGAACCGCAGGCTATGCTTGGAGAAACAGAGGTATCAACTCTTCTCCCCTATTCCTTTACATTCTGTGTTTTTAAAAAAATCCAGTTTTAATGCAAGAAATGAGATGCTTTCCACATGCCTTGACAATGTGTTCAAGTATTATCATCTCTATCAGTGCTTGCTCTAGTTTCTGGCAGTTGGGGCAATGCATAGCTCTTGGGACTGGGAGTATTAGAAGAGACCCAGCAAAATGTTAGTTTTCCTTCTAGGACCTTCTTTGTCATAGTCCTCCCAGTGGGATATTTCTTCTCTAACAAATAAAGTTGGACTTAGTTGTTCCTGAGATATGTTTTAACTTGCAGACTAAGGATCTGAAAAGGAGCCCAAGCAGCAGGGAAATCCTGTGCCAGCTCTGCTGTTCCCAGGATAGATTCTAAACTTTTTTTTTTTCTTTTCCCCTACAGAAGTGCCTGTTTTCATGACTTTGCTTAGCTGTATTGCAAGTGCCGCAGTGGGGTAGTAGTGGCAATAGTTTCAAATCAAGGCCCTGCACACAGGGAAAGCACAAACTAACATTTTAAAAGGCTTGTAGTTATGCAGGGATACAAAATAGCAAGTTGCTGTGACCCTACCTATCTGCTGCAAAGCAAGCTATGCTCATCCACTGGGTGCTCAGCAGTAGCTGAAGTGCACTGTGTTCCCAGACTGCATCCTCTTGTTTAGCTTCAACTGAGAACAGTAAAACAGCTTGGTAATGAAGATGAAAACATTGAAAGGGAGGTTAATCAGTTGTTTCAGAAGCATATGCCAAACATTATCTAAATGTAAAATATAAAAGTAGATTCATCTTAAATTTGGAGAGGCACCTAGGTTGTCTATGCAGAATAATAATATTGAACAGTAAACACTGGTCTTTAAAGACTTTACCAGTGTCTTCAGCATTTCACAGCAGTTGCCACAAGCTGTTTAGGTCAACTTTATTCAGAGACAGCTGTCTGCATTCTCTAAGCAACTGATGTTAATTCAAGACTAAATTTATACTGGGAAACTGGCATTTAAGACAGAGGTGATAGTAAGCTCAACACTTTTGTCCCTATAGCCCTAGATCACATGCAAAATGTTTGAGAAGTATTTATGTATGTTTATGAACCTAAACAGTTCTCAAATTTAGATATAACTCCACTAGCTTTATTACTTACTTGTCTACTTTGCAAAAATTCTTGCAAGGTCCTGTGACCTGGCGGTCTTAGCATTTGGCTGATGAGTGGTATTTAAGGATAATCCAAGAGGAACATTGCTTTTGTCAAATACACAGTTGTATGTACTTTGAAAAGACTTTTAATTACAATTTTGGTTTCTATTGCAGGTGAGGTTGATTGGCCACAAGGAACTGCTGAAATGGGCAGCCCTGGAAGAAAAGGGGATGGTGGTAGCTCTACCTCAACTAAGCCTGAAGCAGTTACCCTGCCAGTGGGGCTGGGCTTTGCAAATGACAAATGTAAGCTGAGGGACACTCAATAGGTAGCAACTTTTTCCCCCTGCCTACCCTCCACCCCCAATCATCATCAATTTCAAGCTCTTGCTTCCTTCCATGAGAAATATCAACCATTTCACTTTTTTAAAAATGAAAGATTAACTAATATTAAAGAATGGAATAGAAACAGAGAGGATGGAATCTAGTACTAGATAGTTGGATCACTGTGTGCAATTGTGTCAGCATCTCTGTTGCTCTCTCTTCACTCTTGAACCAGCTGCTATACTTTTAAAGCCCCAAGAAAGAAGAAACCTAACTGAAGGCCCTGTTAAAGTAATCAGACAGCAACTGTAGCTGTCAGTGATAAAACAAGAAAAAATTTCCACAACACTGTACATTAAAGAAGTGACAGTTTTGAAGAATAAGTTTTCCTGGTGCTTGCTGGAAACTGGCAGGTGGTTGTTGCAGCTAAGGGAGGTATTGTACTTGTATGGAAAATTTTGTAAAAGTTAAGAGTTCCCTCCAACATTGTAGATGCAAAGCATGATTAAATATTCATTCCCAAGTCTGAATTTTTGAATAATTTTGCCCATTGCTGGGATTAAGTACAAATTCTTGTAATCAGAACTGTGAGGTTTTTTAAGTGAGTCTTTGTATCACTATGTAAGACTAAAGCTGACTCTTGTTTAGATCCATTGTTTTTTATGCAGTTACCAGGGTGCCTTCAATGAAATACTAAAGAAAATATCTTCTATGACTAAGTTTTTTTTTTTTTTTCTCCCCTTTAAGAAAAAATTGGGGATCCAGAACTTTGGCAGAAAAACAGCATTTTAAGCAGAGGGTAGATGGCTATTTGGATACAAAATTCCACAAATTGTGCCTGCAAGGTGAGGTTCACAAAGAGGGAAAGCAGGTTGAAAACTAAGTATATGCTCTTTAAACATAGAGCTTATGGATTTTTTCTTTCCCAATAAGTAATATAAATAAATGCAAAACTAGTGCTTTAAAAGTTACTTTCATTGTCCTTTCAATGGTGCCATACCTCATGGGTCAATGAGAAAGCAAAATTGCACTATTTAAGTTATACACATAAACTTTACATTAAAATATTTTATTACAATACAGACAGTAGGCTCAAATTAATACAAATTAAGATAAAATATTTACAAGTTGTGTACAGCAGTTGCTGTCAGAACAGCATAAACAAGAGAACTTCTAAAAATCCACATTCTTAAATATTAACAAGAATGCTACCCCCTGCCTCCTGAGGAAGAATGTGCATCAGTTTGCATCAGTCAAAGACTTTCTGGAGAACGAGCACCTCTTTGGAATAATTTCATGGAGTCAAACAAATAAAAGAAAACTTCTCTAACAGAAAAAAGAGTGTGGTCTGTGCTATTGTTAGATCATTTTTGTCATTTTTTTCCCTAAAAATTAACATTGCAGGCAGTTTTTTTTCTTGCCTTTTTTAAGGAGATGTTAGAATACTGCTATGAGATGCCTTGTTGATGAAATAAATGCAAGTTATCGTAAATAAATTAGGGAAGCTTTTAGCCAGGTTTTAATAGGAAAGTCTTTATATATAGGGTTTTTTTCAGTAAGAATATTTTAAAGGGACAGTTTAAGCAGAATTCTGAGACAGAACAAATATGGGCTCACTCCTAACTTTTTCAGTATGTATATTCCCTCTGCTAGTCTACCCCTCCTAACCATAATAAGATCAGCTTTTTCTCATCAGTAGTTGCAAGAGATGTGTTATAAATACATGATCTATCCCTATTCATGTGCAGTTCATTTCTCTAGTTGCTGAGGGGTACTAAAAGCTTCATACACATTAGCAGCAAAATCTTTCACTTGTTCCATCATCAACAGGTCCTGGAAGAAATTGAAAGAAGAATTTGCTTAAGTAACATACCTACCCCTTTCCTGATTTTGCTTCAGTGCTTAATTGCATTAATCATCACAAAAGCACCTGGCATTCCCACAGAGATTTAATCTCAAATTTCTTGTATTAGAAATGCTTATGAGCAGAACTGCAAATAGAATCATGTTGAGAGGCTTTTCTGTGTTTCTATGCACTTTAATAAAGAGAAGGGATTCTAGAGTGAAAACAAACACCTCATACACATCTTTTGTGAGGCTGCAAATGTACAAAAAGTTCAAACTGCCAGTTGCTCTTGCTTCTTTAAAAGGTAACGAAAAAAACAAAGGTATGTCATTAAACTGAGGCTTATATTTCAAAATTTTATTTGGGGTATTTAAATGAAAATTCTTACCTGCACAAAATGACTGGGAGTTTCACTGCATACTGAATGGATCTGTCCATTTATTATTGGAATTATCTTGGCTAAAGGAAGACTGACGCTGCAAAGACTAGGAAAGAAAAAAGTTGACCATTAATTGCTCCAATATTGATAAAGTCATTAAATTTCATAAAGTAATAATTATTTTGAATTGTAATAATTATATGTAAGAGTTTTTAGAACTTAATTTTGCATAGACTACAAAATTAAATGTACAGATGAAGTTGGTTGTTTTTTACTAACAAGGCCTTCACTGACTACCAAGGACTACCAGGGCAGACTTCACCTGATATACTGGTGTTCTTATTACACAGCTTTACACTTGCTTCTCTTTTAAGAAAAAAAAAAAAAAAAAAAACACACACACACTTTGGCCAGAGCACCTGTTTGTATGTAAAGAGCTGTCAGGATAATTGTCCAAAGCCTTATACTCTCTCTAATCTTAGGCTTAGGACAGGCAGCCAAAGTGGAATCTGTAGGATATTTTAAGTAATAAAAATACCATACATGAGTTATTACAGAAACATGGGACTTGATAGGAAACACAAGATTTGATAGGAAGACAGGAAGACAGCTTCGTACAGAACTCAACTTCTCACTGCATAGTCTTAAAAAAAAAAAAAAAAAAGCTAGAAGATTCCAAGTGTATCTTGTTCAGCATTGCAGTGAAGCACCTGATGTTCTATGGATGCTTAGCCTGCATGCAACAGAAGAGGCACGGCAAAGCCCAATTTTGCTGGATCTTGGGCACAAAGAGCCTATCTGCTGCAGGATGCTGTGCCCTCAGGGCCTCTTTACAGGAGCGCTCAGCGCAGCGCTGGCAGTCGACACCAGCAGAGCAAGCCCCTCTAGCAGGCCCGCAAGGCAGCCTGCATTGACAGCGCTGGTGAACACCGAGAAGTCTCATTTCCACTTTGAGATCCCTTGGTAAAGACGGGAAAGGTATGTGGGGCAAGTTCTAGCAACAGCATGGGTGAGAAGCAGCTCTCAAAACGAGGGGACAGTTTCTTGATAAACTAAGGCCAGAATTCTACACAGCATGAGAACTTCACATAAGCAGGAAGATCTCTAGCACTTTTTTTTTTTTTTTGAATTCACTATGGAGCCAAAAGTCATATCACATAAGAACCCCATCAGAAGAGAGTTACCTATTTACAGAGCCATTCTGACAGAGGTCCTGCTCAGTAGGTCTAAAAAACTCAGCCACGTTGTCCAGCAGTCGACTAAATCCTCTGTTTAAACATGTGCTTAGAACTGTAACAAAATCTGGACTGAAAAAGTAAACAAATGCTGGTTTTGATATTCAGGATTTATTTTTCCAAACTAAAAAGTTTGCATACAAGTACTCAGAGCTACAGATGTCCCTCCCTTAAGAGATATAACACAGAGGAAAGGCTACTTCAAGAAATACTGGCTCCCCAAATATTTTTATATCAAAAGAGTCAGCCTAAGATTAATGAAGACCACATAAATAAAAATATTAATCACTTCTCTATTTCTCATTACGCACTAACATAGCCTCACTTTGGTAGCTGCCTTATAAAAGGATGAATACAGCCACTCATAAAACCATACATATATTCTGATAAAGGACATTAAGCCAAAATGCTATTACTTTGAGATATTTATAAATGCATGAAAAAACACTGTTTTTCATAAAAGCAAAAAAAGAAGATTCTAAATAAAAGTTGTCTAAATCCTATCATTCCAGAACTCTCAAATTCAAAAAGCCACAGCCTACAATTACTAAATTTAAATTTTTAATATAATGCAATGGTTAAATGGTGATGTTTTGGAAATTAAAGTTTCACCAACTTTTTATTTAAGACTATTTTTTCAGTACGAGATATTTATACCTTTCTAGCATATCTCTGGTTTCATTAAGTAATTTAATTGTAGCAGTGTCCCTTTCCGTGAGTCCACAGGCCTAAAAAAAGCAAAAGACAGAAAATTTTCAATAATAAATCCACTGGCAACCATGAGAACAGCAGTAGTGGTATAGTTATGCACCCTGGAGTCAGGTCAAGATAATCAATGGATTTCATACCACAATACATTTAAAAAAATAATTTTAAAATAATCTATCAAAAGGAACATGTATAAATTAAAAATATCAGAAAGAAATACTAAACTAATGGACCAAAGTATTCCATTTCTGATCTCCAAAACCAAGATAAAACCTGCATATTCGCCTAAGTTAAAGGTATAGGTGGCCACCTACTGAGGTCCCATTTGCTTCTTTAACATGAAGTTAAGAATGAGTTTTCTACACCTCCATGGCATGGATGGATACAAAGAGCCTTCAGAAGATTTAGGAAACTGTTTTAACATTAGAACTGAGACTTGATACAAATTTCTCATGACTCCTATTCATTTTCCAGCCCCAATCCAATCCCATTCATCACTTTCTTGTGCATCATCTGAGATGTCAGAATTGTCAGTGATCTTTGCTGGTAGGCAAGGTAGTATGATTTAGCTTAGGGCTCAGTTGCGCTTTCTTATATTGCAAAACACATCACAGGCAAAAAGCTACAACTTGGTTGTGCTTCTGAGTTCAAAGCTGACATTCTGAGGATGACACTTGTTTTCAATCAAATGTGAAGGTACAACCTCGCTTTGTCTAGATTAAGATAAGTACACTTGATTCATAAAAGCACAGACACTGCCATTTAGTAAAGACAGTACTATGATAGAAAAACAGAACTCATTAAAAAAAAAAAAAGATAAAAATTAGAATACCTGGCTAGCCAGGGGGTTTTCTTCATCTGGCATCAGATAATGACACAAGGGATAATAAGACGTAATCTTATCTGACTCTTTACATTCCACTACTTTCCTGATATCTTTAAGTTTCTGTTCCAGCTCCAGAAGAGACAAAGTTTGCTTAAGGGAAACACTGGAAAGGAAAAAGGCTACAGTGTCAATTGCAGAAATTAATAGTGATACTTTGTTCATTTATTCATAATGTGTTCACAAGTAAAAATCACTGTCTTTTTCCCACGATAAAAGTCATTGCTCTGGATCAGTCATTACAGTGAAGATACAAAACTAAGCACGGAGATATATATGCTCTTACCTTCCAAAAACTTTATGCACAGCTTGTTTAACAACAGTTATTAATTCAGTCAGACCTAGAACAAGAAAAGTGACAAAATTATTAATATTCTAATGATTTACTCAAGTCTAGGAGAAAGTAGCATTTGAAGTGTACTTAGCTGAATAGCACCATACCATCTCCTAAAAGGTGCTGAATACTCGATAAATACTGCTGCTGGACCTCAGGAGGAGCTAGGGGGGTCTGAGGGAAAAAGAGGAAAAAAAGGGGTTTGTAACATGCTGATGGCAGAGAACAATGCAAAAAATCATTTCAAGGAGGTTGTGGGGTTTTTTTTTCCTCCCCTAAAAATAAATAAATAAAAATTATCATGACTTCCCTTTGGTCTTTTGCAGTTTACTAAGGTCATCCTTCTCCCTTTCAACCACGTGTTCAGTTCATTATGGTCAAATCCATTAATAGCCAAGAACTTGCCTGTCAGACTGGCATGTTTTCCTCCACAGATTTTAGGGAATAGCAAGACACTTCCCAGAATATTCAGATAAGTCACTACAGGTTGTCGACAGGGGAGACAACAGCCTCAAACCATCTTCTCCATCACAGGTCCCAGGCTGTAGCTTCTGATTCTTCCTGCCATCAGCCCAAGGGATCATTCACGTATTCTCTGGTAATTTTCCCCTCTGTACTATATAGGTATCTCTTCTATCTTTAATGGCATAGAAAAGCTGCTTTCAGGTTGCATTCATTTGAGGAAGTCCCTTAGAAAAACTGCACTACAGGCAAAAATAGGACCTTTCATCTCTCCAGAAAAACCTTTTTAGGCTTAAGCTTAATAAAGGTCACTAAGCCCCTGTGTAAAAGAAAATAAACTTTCAGAAATTGAGACAGAAATTCAGCTTGCTCCAGCACAAGTGCCTTGGAGCTGATCCTATCAATCCTCTTCTCTATTAGAAAAGTAAGAGAAAACACATTAAACTTCCAACTTAGCTTGCTCAAAACCTTTTTCAGATTTTACAAAATGAAACATGACCTCCATCATCTCTGCCCCCAAATGAACATTTTTTTCTAAAACCCTCAAATGTGACTTGACTTGCTTTTC